TCAGGAGACCTAACCTGGCTGCCAGTGCTCCCTCTAAGCTGTGGAATCTTACCAGCAAAAATTCTACCTTGTGAGCTGCCAGCATTAAAGTTGCGAGCGAGCGATTGGGCTACGCTCTGGAGCCCTCCTTCCCGAGCGAAGACAAAAATGTGTGCGCTGGGGGCTAAAACACTGTGAGCTCGCTCACACTCACTCAGTTTAGAGGGAACACTGCTGGCCACCCCTGGGCTCTTGGAGGCCCCCCAGCCCAACTCAGTATCACGGCTAATCAGGGGTCATTAGCATAACTTATTTGCATAGGCCACACCCCCTGACCTCACCGGAGCATATGCCACACCCCCTGACATCACCGGAAGTGTGTCAGAAGGCAACACCTACCGCTCAGGCTCCACTGGACTGTTTTGGATTGCTAGCTATGGGTGGGGGGGATGACGCGCAGATCTTCCCTCGCAGAGGAGGGAGAGCTTGTACCTGAATAAAACTTAGTTTTAAAGGTGCCACTGGACTGTTTTGGACGGAGGGGGGGATTCTGCAGCCTACCTGGCTGCTTCTTGCTCTGACTGAGGGCTGCTGGGAGCAGGGGGTGGGGCTTGTTGTGCTGCAAGCCACAGGGGGATTTTGTATCTCAGCCGAGATTTTAACTAGGCACAGCAAACAGCTTGAGGTTTCTTTCTGTCCCAAATCCTTTCCCATTCTGCAACACATAACAAAAGACTGTTCTTCCCGAGGGCCTGGACAACGGAATCGTAAGAACTCGGTGAGGAGTTAGGGGCTTGTGTGGACGCCTTATTTATTGATGGCCAACTTTTGTTTGTTTTCACTTGGCCCTGCTCCTGGGCCTTTCACAAGCTGTCCTAGAGAGAGAGAGAGGAGGAATTCATTAGCAGATGATCTTTCCTAGCAGTTTAATCTCCACGTACAAGGAAGAGCTTTGCCCATAGAAGACCTGTAATAGGGGAATAATCAATTCTTAAGATACTATTCGCCATTGGTGTTCCCTCTAAGCTGAGTTAGCGTGAGCTAGGCTAGCTCACAGTTTTTTAGCCTCCGGCTCATATATTTTTGTCTTAGCTCAGGAA